TGATAAATACATGTTTTAATGTGAAAGATACATAGACTCTTGATTTCTAAGTTCCTATTCTTGACTAAATTATATATCAATCAAATACTTGTTCATGTTCCAAGAAATTGTAATTTTTATACTAAACCTTAGAATTTTGATATCGCAATTATGAAGATTTTCTTGATATGATATCTTGCATATTTTAATTCCTTTATTATTATTGTATATTGAGAATTGTAAAATTTTGATACTTGAGTTTTGATGGAAATTGAAAGAGGTTGAGATTATAGTTTTTGAGAAAGTTGTGATTTTCATCTCTGTATGGTTTGGGTGTAACGGACTTGAATTACCTTCGAGAGCTGTAATAGAGTGTTAGAGGTTAGTCTATTCTAGTGGGGTTGAGATGGTTGCCTAGTAGTGGGTTGTTTCCTTGAATTTCAAGCACTATTGTTCATGTAGGTTCGAGGCTGAGAGANCGGACTTGAATTACCTTCGAGAGCTGTAATAGAGTGTTAGAGGTTAGTCTATTCTAATGGGGTTGAGATGGTTGCCTAGTAGTGGGTTGTTTCCTTGAATTTCAAGCACTATTGTTCATGTAGGTTCGAGGCTGAGAGATGGTATACCTTTCCTGAGAATGATTCGTTAATGTCGTGTGAGACGATATACACCCTTCCAAAATGGTTTGTGATGTGGGTCTACTGGAAATGATTGAGATTGTTTGTGTTGTGGTGAGTGAACAAAGTAAGATCANCCTTTCCTGAGAATGATTCGTTAATGTCGTGTGAGACGATATACACCCTTCCAAAATGGTTTGTGATGTGGCTCTACTGGAAATGATTGAGATTGTTTGTGTTGTGGTGAGTGAACAAAGTAAGATCATTGTGTAGATTCTTGAGAAGCAAACAACATACATGACAAAAACTATTATTATTGAATTAATTGTTGATTACTCTAATCATCCTCACATAATATTTTTGTTGAATGTGAATTTGAAAAATTAGTTTGGTTTAGAATGGGATCTCTAGTGGGGTTTGTATTGATTGAGAATGAAGAGCTATTATCCAGATTTTTGAGAATTATTAAGTTATTTCACAAGCTTTCAAATAGCCATAGGTTAATTAGAGGAATTTCTTTAATGGTGTACTAGCAGTTATGGNTGGTGGGGTTTGTATTGATTGAGAATGAAGAGCTATTATCCAGATTTTTGAGAATTATTAATTTATTTCACAAGCTTTCAAATAGCCATAGGTTAATTAGAGGAATTTCTTTAATGGTGTACTAGCAGTTATGGGGATCAGTGGAGTAGTCATACGGAATCATTGGGGACAACGGCTTATTACTAGATGCAATTTTTATGGGATTTGTATTAGTATGGAAGCAAAATTAAGGGCATTGTGGGATGGTTTGAAAATCTTAGAAGACTTTGGATAGACTTCCTATCTGATTTCTATTGAATTTGATTCTCAAGTCCTTGTGGATATGGTTAAAGGTGATGCACAAGGATCTTGTANATTTGTATTAGTATGGAAGCAAAATTAAGGGCATTGTGGGATGGTTTGAAAATCTTAGAAGACTTTGGATAGACTGCCTATCTGATTTCTATTGAATTTGATTCTCAAGTCCTTGTGGATATGGTTAAAGGTGATGCACAAGGATCTTGTAAATTCTGGTATATCCTTTCACAAATCTATAATCTCAAGAGGAGATTTGAATCTGAAATCACCCATGTTTTTAGGGAAGCAAACATGATGGCAAATTACTTGGCAAACAAAGGGGTAAGGGATAGAGTCCAGATAGTTTTTGTAAAACCTGGGAAGATTTAAATTTTTTATGAAAAAAGGCAAAACTGTAAATTGTCGCTACGGTATTGGTCGAAAACCCAAATTTTTCTAGAACTCGGATGACAAAATTGACCTCATCGTTGGATTCGTCTCACAAAATCTAGTTGGCCCAATCAATTTTCCTTAAATTCTGAGACAGTCATATTTTTTACATTTTACGAGGTGATTAGGTGTCGCGTGACCAAAATAAATGCAACTGAGAAATAAATTGCAAAATTTGGAAAATAATTTAAATTTACTTAAAATAAAAATATATTGAACTTGAATCGGGATGAGATTTAATTACATTAGACTAGGGAAAAATAGACGTGTGGTGCAATGTGGGCCAAGTATCCAATGAGTATATATAAGGGAGAAAATCATATTTTATCCTCATTTTTGGCCAATTGATTTTCAGAAAAGAGAGGCGAAGGGAAGAGAGGGAAAAATCAAGATTTCTTCATCTTCTCTCTATGATCTAGACTACCCTTTGGTCGAAATCCTTCGGGCCAAGAACCAAAGTTCATCTACGCGACGAGAGCTACATTCGCGTACCAAAAAACACGGATTTTGAAAAAGTTCAAAAGACAGAATTTTTGAAAATCAAGGTTCACGGCTTGTTTGGGTTCTTGGGAACTTCCTACTATATGTTTTACTTTTCAACAGGCAGGGTTCCTCTCCTAATTAGGTTTATTTCCAACTTAGAGTTGAAATATGAAATAGGTAGGGTGTTAGAGATGTAATCTCATGTATGGCACATACCTATGGTAGTTGAAATGTGAAAAATGGGTATAAGAATGGTTAAAAATAATTCTAGAAAGAATTGGGTTGTTGAAATTACTTGTTGTGATTTCAGGAGAAATGCATTGACTGGGAATGCTATGTGTTTATATTCATGCCTTGAAGGTGGTTGATGAAATGCCCATGTTGATTAAGTGTGTTAATTGCATTGACTAATTACATTGACAATGTTATAACATGCTTTGGTGAGGTTGTTGATGGTGTTTATATGTTTATGATATAATTGACCATGGAAAATGTTGATGGATATTAAAGTTGTTCATAACGTGCTCATGACATATTGAACTTGATATTGGAAAATGCAATTGTACATTACATTTGCATATGCAAGGGAAACATCGCATTCATGGGCATATGACATGAGTATGGGTGTGTGTCCACAGTTTTGATCAAACACCACTCTTGGAGGATGATGCATGGGTTCAGGAAAGTTGGACTGAAGTTCGACTAAGTCGCACGGTTTACATTGAAAATAGGTTCGGGTTTAGCAACAAGGGCTAGACTGTCTCTCGAGTCCAAACCTAGTGATTTTGGATATGCATTCCATTGGTATTAAGTCCATAAAGTGTGTCAGCGTACGTAGAGCCATTGCTGGAAGTCCATATATGTCGTGTTAAATTGTATGTGAGCATTTCATATGCATCTAAGTTAGGAAGTAATCTCTTTAGGAGATATCTTATTGAGCGTGACTCGCCCTTTATAGGGATAATATTTTAAGTGTGGGACAAGTGTCGGTAGATGGCTCTCACTTGCTTTCTCATTGAGGAAAAAAATTCGAGATTTGGCTTTAAATTATGCTTTTGTAAAACAAATATGTAATTTAGTTTTTGGACATGTATTTTTGTGTAAAGGATTGTAAAACGAACTCATATGAACTGTATTTTGTGTAAAATGTGATATTATATGAGTTTGGGTGGTTATTGTATGAGATTGGAAGAGTTGGAATTGAAAAAGGATTAAATCGGGGGAAAACTAGGAAGATCTACAGGTAGAACGTTGATTACCTACCAGTAGAAGTTTTCCATTAAGCTCTTCTACCGGTAGAACATTGACCTTCTACTAGTAGAAGTTTTCTAGTGAGTTCTTCTACCAGTAGAAGTATTCCGGTGAATTTTTCTACTAGGAGAATGTTACTTTTCTACCGGTAGGTCTCCTTTTATTTTCAAAAAATCAAAATATTTTTGTTAGGCCTTCAGGCCTTGAGTCCTTTTGTCTCAAGGAGGTAAATGGAGTAATATTAAGGGTAAATTGATGTATATTGGACTTTGGAATGGTCAAGTAATTGAGTGGTACACAGGTTATGCATTTGAGAGTGTCTGGTACAAGGGAGACCTGCCCAAACTTCATGTTGGTTACGATCCCGGTGAAGATGATGTTGTGGGTATATTCAAATCATGTTAAGAATTAATTGTCAACTTTTCTAGAGAGAGAAGCTTTGCCTTCTCTCTAGAATTCCTTTCTTATGCCTTCAACACTTCTTCAAGACTCTATCCCTCCCAAACGCCCAAATCCATCCCTTTCTTTTCCTTCTTTGCCTATTCCTACATCCAATAATCAAGTGGCTGCTTCGAAATCATTGGAAGCAGCTAAGATTTCTTCAGCAATTTCTGAGGTGCCTGTTCTTAAAAATAGCCTTTCTTATGCATCTTTCTTCCAAAAAAAACTTCATGGTTGTGCAAATCTGGATCCACATTCTCTTGCCTTTAGGGCTATTGTAGTGAAGCCAGCTAAGAGGGTGCTCTTTCACAACGGAGAAACAACAGTAGTTTGGACTAGAGAAGATATGACTAAGGCCTTCAAGCCGCTTGAGCTTGCTATCATTGGTAAAGTGTTCATATGGTCGCCCTTCATTAAGCTATATCAGAGACTTTATAAAGTCTGAATGGTTTCTTAAAGGAGAATTTATGTGAGAAGTTTGGATCCTAGACATATAATATTAAAGCTCACTCTTCATGAAGATCTCATAAATGTTTATTGAAAGACATAGCCGACATAAATGGTCATTTATTTCGTTTTTTCAAATGGTTTCTAGAGTTTGAATTTGGAATTGAACCAACAATTATGCCCATGTGGGTATCCCTTCCTTCATTAACATTTCATTTGTTCCCTAGAAAGCATTTAGAAATCCTATTGAGCCCCATTGGAAAGGTGTTGGCAGTGGATGGTCCAACGCTAAATTTTTCAAGGCCAAGTGTAGCAAGGGTGTGTGTATTGGTAATTCTGTTAAAAGAAAATCCAGATCGAATCAAGCTTGATATGGGTGGATTGAAGGATCGATGGCAAAAGATTATTTATGAGAAAGAAAGAAAATATTGTAAAGTTTGTTCCAAGCAAGGCCATTTGGAGAGTGAATGTAGAAAGTATAGGAAAACTGAGAATAGAGTGAAAGAAAAAGGGATGAAGCAGGGGAAACAAAAGGAGCAAATTGTCCAGGGAAATACACAAGAAGAGGAAAAGGTTGTGCTGAAGGTTAATGAAGCTATTTTGGATCACAAGCATGATGCAAATCATGATATGCTCATAAACGACATTAACATGGATCCAAAAGGTGCTAAGAAGCTAACAGTTGCTATGGATATTGTAGGGACTGGACATAAGAATAAGGTGACAATGATCCAAGATAAGAAACAGAAGAGGCAGAGGAGGCCACTGAAGACTAGAAGATGCAAATTGCATAAGAAAAGTTATAAGAAGAAAAGGATTAGGAAAGGGAAAGAGAAGATGGTGCTCTTTAAGAAATTGAGGGATTCCAATGGAAATGAGGATGGGGAAGTGTTGGTTAGGCCTTCGAGTTCAGAAAACCATATGCACCTGCAATCTCAAGATTTAACAACCCATAAGTTGGAAAAAAATGGTGAGAATGCGGCCCAAACATTATTGAACTCAGAAGGTGGTGGGCCTATGGAGAAGGTTCCTATTATTCCATTTAAGCCTCTTCAAAGTTCTTTGATTCTTGATTCTGGTATGGTAACGCCCAACAAGAATGCAAGAACAGTTTCTTTTAATTTGCTTAATCTGAATCATGAGGATGGTGTAGTTCAAATGAATATCTTGATTATTTTTTGAAGACCCTTTGGTAGAAGCTCCCATTGATTATGGTGTTATAAATAAGCAAGATCATGATTCATTGTACAAATCAATGCTTGTTACCCAGCAAATGGTGGATGCAGTTCATCAGCATGTCCATAGTCAAGAAGAGTTCATTCCAACAATGTCCACAGATGAGATTCATCAAGCATTAAAAGCAAAAGGCATTTTCTCTAAAGATGATTATGTCAAAGAGCCTTTTGTTCATAAAAAAATACAAGAGGTTTTTACTCAGATGGAAGAGAGGATGTTACGCCTATATTAGATCATGACTCTTTTATGGTTACATCCAAAGAATTGCTAAGAAGGCTTACAAATTCTGAGAAGAAAAGGAAACAGAAAGAGGAGGAGCTAGCTGCCCTAAAATTGGCATTGAATAATGTTCCAGCTAGGAAAGATTTGTCAAGAATCACTAGGTCCAAATCCAAATCCATGATAGCGTTCAAAATTCCAAAACAAAACAACAGATATGGATTCAGGCACTAACGGAGCTGATTTTCAGGGATTTCATGGATATCTTTAAGTCAGTCTTTAACAGTTTAAAGGATGATTTTCAGGGATTTTCTAGCAAAATGGGAGTTGCATCATGATCTACTGCCCACCAAATCTTGCCTTTTTAATGTGTGATCACATGCAGATGATATAGGGAAAAAATTTTGCATTTTTTCACATGCAGTCAGTCCAACATTGGGAAGTCATATAGGGAAGCTACAAGGAATTGCATGAAAACTTTATGTAATTGCATTTAAATGCAATTTCATTTAAATGTAATTGGATTTAAAGAAAACTTTCTTTTATTATGTAAAGGGTAAGGTTTATGTCCTCCCCTATTTTCTTTATAATTATGTTATTAATAAATTTTGTTATATATATCAAGTTCACATTGCAATAACAAATGTAATTTGAATATGGATTAGTTAAACTTTGTACTTCTTTTTTTCATAAATGACTAGTTGTCCTTTAAAAAAACCTCTTGTTTTCTTCTTTAAAAAAAACGGATGTTGTGACGTAGTGTCGGGTTATGCGGCATTTACGGGTACTTTCACGGGTTGATGGGTGATCAACGGGTTGACAAAATACCCCTGGTTTTAGGGGCGTCATAGCTTGGTATCAAAGCCTAGGTTCTCGGTTTACCTAGGGCTTGTGGAGCATAGGTCTAGGCCATTGCATCCATTGTGCATTACATATTATGTGTTTTAAATGCTACATGTTATGTGTTATGTGAATAATATGCATGATTAAATGTATATTAAAAGAGACACTAGGGTTAGAGAACTTAACATTGGGGGTCAGAAAGAGAATGAATGGGACGGTTTAGGATATAGATGTCTACTAGTGGGTGGCACACACTCTACTAGTGAGACAATGAGAGAAATCTCAATGTTACGACTTTGATTCCTATTTTGAGATACTAAGTTAGTGCTCTATTGCTATTTTACATGTGTATAGATGGCAAATAGAGAAAGAGGACACCAAAATGGCTGAGAAGATGGGCGGAACAAAAACCAACCACCACCGGCCTTTGACCAACAAGCCTTTATTGAGGTTATAGGCACAATGAAAACTACTTTCGCACAAGCTAGAGCCAAGGAGGCTCAAGTAACCTCTAAAAATTTAAGGCCCACAAGCCACAGACTTTCTTGGGAGGGGCGGATCCGATGGTGGCCATCCATTGGTTCCAACAAGTTGATAAGATCTTAGAGACTATGGAGATCACGTTCGATGCCACTAAGATAAGACTAGCTGCATTATAGCTTGAAGGAGAGGCCCATCTATGGTGGGATTGGGCAAAGGCATCGAAGAACGCAGAGGCAATGACATGGGGAGAGTTTCAGGAGCTCTTCATGGGCAAGTACTTCCCATTGACTATTCGACAAGCGAAAGCCCGAGCATTCTTGGATTTGAAGCAAGGGACTATGACAATGATAGTATATATGGCTAAGTTCACCGAGTTAGCCCACTTTGCCAATGACCATGTGGCCATAGACTTGGCCAAAGTGAGGAGATTCGAGAATGGTTTGAAATTGTCCATCCGGAGAAAGATTGTGGCCCACCGCCTATAAGATTTGGACCCAATGGTCGAGATGGCTATGGCCATTGAGAGAGAGGTGAAATATGCAAAAGGCATCCGGGAGGTGGGTGCTAAGGACAAGAAGAAAGAGGATCAATCCTCTTCTTCTAGTTCGAGGAAGAAGAAAAAGACATCTATCCTATAAGGGTATCAGGGAGAAAGCCGTAGCTATCAAGGCCAAAACCACGGTCAATCCTCCCAAGGTGGGAGAAACTTCATGACTTTCTACTAGGAAAACTAGAGGACTTGTTTCATATGCCACCAGTTGGGTCAGATGAAGTGAGATTGTCCTTAGAGGCAGGGATCTCAAAACTATGGAGCATCTCAGTCCTAGTCATCAGAGGGGCATCCATAGACTTATTTCATTCCTTCTTACCCCACCATGGGCTAGAGAAACCAGTTTCATTTCCAGGGTGCTACATAGGCCCCTAACACTTCACGAGCGAGGACTCTACAATCAGGCCAAACAGGCCAGGACTTTGGGGACCAAGGGGGGAGTCTACGCCATCACACCTCAGACTGAGCCAGTGGATCAGTCGGTTATTTAGGGTACATTTCTACTATCTCGCTTATAGTTAGGGGTGTCCATGGGCCGAGTTACCTACGGGTCCCGTTACCCGGCCCGAAAAAAATAGGCCCAAAATCTGATAGGCCTGATTGTTGGCCCGTTCGAGCCCAAGCCTAATAACTTAAAAAGGGGGCTAGGGTTTGCCCCCAAATCCATTACCTAACCTGAAATCCGCCCATCAAGCCCGCCCACCCTTCCTTTGAAAAAAGTTATACTTTTAGACCATTAAATTTGAAACTTTGAAATAAGTCTCTCAACATCAGAATTTGAAATTTTAAAAATTTAGATACAATAAATAATGTATTATTTTATTTTTCATGTACTAAGCATACAAGTTTTAAAGGGTAAAGTAATGCAAATGATAGATAAGTGAGTAGGTATCAACCTAGTTGGAATGTATTCATTCTATTGGATGTAGTTCATCCCCTAATTAAAAATAAAATTATTCATTATTTTATTTTTATTCATTTTAGCTCTATTTTTGATTCAAAAATATAATTTACACAAATATTAAGTTACAAAAATTTTCATTATTTTTAAATGAAGTTGTATATAACAAAGCCTGTGAGTAGTTGAATCAGGTTATTTTCAAGAATAGGTACCCATTACCAAGGATTGATGATTTTTTTGATCAATTAAGGGGAGCACGGGTCTACTCCAAGATAGATCTGCACACGGATTACCATCAGTTGAGGATTAGAAAGGTAGATATCCTTAAGAAGACATTTAGGCACGGTATGGGCATTGCGAGTTCATAGTTATGCCTTTTGGATTGACGAATGCCCCAGCAGCATTCATGGAACTCATGCATAGGGGGTTCCAACCCTACCTATATCAATTTGTTGTGCTCTTCGTTGATAACATCCTAATCTACTCTAAATTTGAGGAGGAGCATGAGGGTAGGGTTGTTCTCTACACCTTGAGAGATCATTAGTTGTACACCAAGTTTAGCAAATGTAAATTTTGGCTAACGGAGGTTTAAATTTTTGGGACACATGGTCCTAGAAAAAATTGAGGCAGTCGTGAGCTAGGAAAGTCCGAAGTCACTCCTTGAGATACGTAGTTTTTGGAATTAATGTGGTATTACAAAAGGTTCATTGAGGACTTCTCCCAACTACCTGCACCTATGACTAGATTGACCCAAAAGGAGATCAAGTTTGAGTGGAATGAATCATGTGAGAAGGTATTCCAAAAGTTGAAGAGGAGGCTTACTTCAGGTCCGATTTTAGTAGTTCTGAAGAGGGGACTGGTGTGCGTCGTTCACAGCCAAAATTAATTCCTTACCTCTACACTACAAATATAGCAGTGGCAAGCAAGGGTCAATATCACAGAGAAATGAATTAACTTAAATGGTAAGAAGTACAATAATATGTAAATAAAAAGGGGATTTTGTTTGTCATAAAAATAGATTATCAAATCGTTAACAAGAATCAATTAATGAAATGTCGAGTCAAAGGCAATTCAACTGTTGGTTATGGATTTGATCATAGACACACAAATAATCAACTCCTATCAAAAGCTTAGTTCAAAGATCATTCAGATGCTAAACGACCTTCTTCATCTCTATAAACATTAATACAAGCCTAGTACTCATATTAAATCTTGTGATTAATCAATTCGGTATTAAGAATCATCCTTCTATTAATAACAACCTTAAGAATAACTAAGATTGAATAACAAATCTCCACTAGCGAAGAACTATTAATCCAATTTATAATTCCCTCTTATTAATAACAAAATTTTGGAAAACAACTACATAATCTGATTGCTACTACAATCAAGTTTCAACACAATTACGGATCAAGAACTTAATATAGCATTCATCACATAGAACATCAATTAGTGTGCACCTTAATCAAAAGAACTATGTAATCTCATCAATAAATCAGAGAATCATATCATTCAAATAGAATTTGATATTAAATAATTAAACCAATTCTCACAAAACCATATACCAACTTAGAATACCTTCAACCGAACAAAGGAAATCAGTTGTTCAGTGCTTAGGTAAACCCAAGTTTGTATAAATATTGTTGTGTCTCCCTTCCTTGCTCTGCCCTCTTCTCCTTCCAGGCAACCATAGATACATATAGAAAATATATGACACTTCTCATGACGTGTACAACTCAAATCCCTACATTATAGGTATTCCTTATCAAAATAGATTGACAGAAATCACAGAATCGTGCTGGAACTTGTGAGCTTTGTTTCTATCAGATAACGACCGCATATTGATTTGGGCTCTTGATGAAAGTTGTAGCCCTGGATGTGTATATAAGTTTTGGCTTTTGAATCACCTGTTTTGGACTTTGGAAATGCAAGTTATGACCGACTTCAGTTTACTGGGTTGGATAGGAATCCAACTCCAATTAGGATTCTGATCAACTTTCCAGGCCTGATTTTGAAACAATGGTTGGAGGCCCAAATGAACTCGGATTCTCACAAACCATACCTTTTTGAAATGCTTAAGATGTCTTCTAAAAACTTCATGAAGACCACTTTCTCATTCTGAAACTCGAACGCCATCCAAACTTCAATTGAAGCTCCACAGATCGAAACGACCTAAAAGCTGAAAATTGCACAATATATTCCATAAATATATTCAATGCTTCCCTAATTCAATAAATATATTAATCAGCTCACTTAAAAATAAAATATGTCATAAAACTAATTATAAAGGAATTAAAAATATTAAATATTATGCTCTTATCAAATTCTCCCACACTTAGTTTTTTACACGTCCTTGAGTAAAACACGCCCACGCAAACATATGAGACCACATACTCATCTAAGACTGCTAGCAATGTCAATTAAACTAGAGACAAGTATACTCATCTCCTTTCACTTCATATCACAAAAAACTTGATCAGTCATGAAACTTCCTACCTAACATGACCAATTCATGCACAACTCACCCCGTCCTTTTTATCCCTGCCACTACAATCCAGGTA